TGAAAAATTTATGGGGCCACTTCAGGTTAAAAATGAGAAACAAAGATATGAAGGTGTACATGTACATGTAGGTATACATGGGTAGGCATTCACTGCATTCAGGGGACAAGTTCTTTTGTTAGGGAAATTTGAACTGACGGTTGTGAGGACATTTCTGAGTCCCCACAACGTTTTCAGTACCCACAAAATAGGTGACATGTCGAGTGTATGTCCCCACAACTATGGCGCGGGAGAGTCGGTGTTTACTAACACACATAGAAAACTTATGCAGTTTCACCCATTATTAAATGTTCCAACCAAGAAATTAAACAGATCTCCAGCAACTGGTATTTATGGAAATCAGTCACCTGAACAGCATTGATTTGTCCTAGCCTCCCCAAATCTTTCAAGATTTGCAAAATTAAGGAAGGGGCATCTCCGCCACTATCACTTTACATGGGGCTTGATTCTTCTTCAAAGTCAAAGAACCTGAAATGTGCCATCGTTTTCCCACACAGTGCAGGATCAAGGATAATTCAGAAAGGTTCGATATTGTGAATATAACGAAAATTTGATATTTGGACAACCATCACGAAAATTTCAGAGTCTGTCATTCTTGTCTATTGTCGCTTCACCATGTCCGTGAAAAGCCTCCAAGCCCAAACAGACCCATTTATGCACAACCTAAGTACAAAACCCTTCAACTGTGATATATTGTCAGCATGAAACTCATTGAAATAGCCTTACTTTGTCAGCAAACTGGAATTTGATGAACACATCAAATGCCAGTCAGGATTTTGAGAAATGATCCCCAATTGGACCATTTCTCCCCACACAATCATCGTTATTGATGGCTTGCCCATTGCCCGTTGAGAAGGTACACTGTACACTGTAGCCCTGGTTTGGTCATGGTACAGTACTCCCATTGGACGATGGGATTTGGAGCTGAAGGTGATGACAGCAAGTCTGACCTGCCACAACTCCTACATGAAGCAGTATTACACTGTGGTTTTCATGTTCGGCAGCTGGTGAAAGGCTTACAAATCCCATCCTCTCCCCCTTCCCTCTGGTTCTGTATTTGTTTATTTCTCCTTAAATTATCTTGTAAGCAGCCTGATTTACATTGCATTTTGGGGAGTGATCCCCCTACCAGCAGAGTACGTCAAAAAAATAAACCAGCACACCAGCCTGTGCCATAAGATTTGTTCCACAACATTTCTTTAAAACCACAGGCATGGTACGCATTCATGTGAACATGACTCAGACTGTACTGAAAACAAATGCCACATTACCATTTCTCAGAAGAGTTGGAAAGTAATAAAAGTGTTTCATGATCCCATGTTTACATTTCCAAAATACCTGCGGTAGCTGATGTTCATGGATGGCGCATGTAGAGTGCAAGAAAGAATAACACTTGTAATGTCAACTGTAATATGCGTGTAAACATGGGAATCTCCCAAATAACGGACGGGGTGTCACATTAACTCTTTCAAGGGGAGGACTTGTTTGTTTTGCGCGAGTGTCTTTTTGTTTTCAACTTTGTTTTATTTTGCTTTGTAGTGAGCACATTTTTGCACGGTAATCAATTTCTCCGAATCTGACTCGAACATGTTGAACAGGGTCTCAAACCGTTTTTTTTTTTTTTTCTAAATCAGAATGAAACATCACTCCCACAAAAAGGGGCACCTGAATTGTCTGTTTGGACTCACTGCTGATTCTATTCTACCACAAAGAAAGCACACTGAAGAACAACTGCAACGCTGACCCCAGACGACCCATACCAGGATGCAAACCTCCTGAAAATGGACTCACAATTGAAGATATCCTCAATGTCAGGTCCAATAAGAAAGCTTGACTAAGCATCCCCAATGCACAACACCAACAGCAGCCGTGTCACTGTGTGACTGTTTTACCCAAGCACCTAACTGCCTGCCTCAAACATACAAAGCCCATATCTCTCTTCTGTGACCTCGCTGAACTTATGGGCTATGTGGGGCCTCTTATCTCTGGAAAGTACTCTTACTTGATGCCATGATGTATGGCTGGCAGCAGAAAGTTCCTGATCATCTTCCGGACAGACTGCCGGGAATATGCCAGTGTGTATGTACCCTACTCCTACAATGCATTCAATAAATGTGGCATTTTAATGGACTTGCCAGACAGCAGACACACATTTTTCGAGAGATGGGATTTAAAAGGGAACTTCTTTTGAGATGTACATTTTATCAGACAGGATGTGTGTTGGCACATTTATAGCAAGAATCAGATCTAAAGATCAAAAAAAGACCTTTCACTGTGATACAATTATTGCAGATTATCATTAAGAACTTGAGTGCCGCTGGTTTATAATGAGAAACTTTCTAGGAAAAACAATTCTTCAGTCTCCCTTTTACATGTAAAATCACACTGCCCACTGCTACTCTCCCTGCACGGCCCCACAGCCAGTACAAAGCATTGCTACAGAGAAATTTGCTTGTTCAGATCCCATAGCTAGCTGCCATTGAAGAGGAAACACCAGACTTACAACTCTTGGTTTTCTTTATAAGTCAAATGGTGGTCAAACGGCCCCTGATTATCGCATATTGACAGATGGTGAAAAAATCCCATTGTACATTATTGATCATCGGGACGATCAACTTTCAATTTTCTGCCAGTACACCTTTCCCATCATGTTGGCTCAGGACAGACACTTGTCACTTTTCCTACCAAAATATCTGATCAGGAAAAAAGTAGACCGGCCATCATTTGTCTCAATTGAATATCAGTCACTGTCAACTCAAACAAGAATAAATACAACCAACAAATTATACATACCCCACTGCCAATGTTTCTGCTTGGTAGGCATTCTTACTGTATACGTCTGAAACAAATATCTGCCTATCAGCCCATCACAAGGTAAACAATCCACAGAGGAACTGAAAGTGCTCTTAGTCCAGTGCTAGTCTAGCTAGTCTCCTGAGCAGCCAGATAGCAGTCGGATAACTTATCCCAACTTCCAGCCAAGATCTCCCAAATGTCTTGTCGACAATGTCTATTCCTCTCTGATCCGGGGAAAAGTTTTTTCTTCCTTCTAGAATGACAGGAATGTGCCGCACATGCCTGGCGAGAGAGGCAACACTCTCCTGACCCCAGGACTTATTTATAACTTCCCGGTGACCCACAGCGGTCTGGTCTTGCGTCCGGGAATTAATATTTGTGTTAAATGAAGTGGATGATCGATGATCGTAATGTGGAAGAATTTCTAATAAGCTCGGAATGAGGAAAGACACCAAGGGCCGGCTAGCCGGCCGAAATGAATGATAAGATGTGCACACATGCACTTGCCTGGTTCACAAACTGGCTGGATACTGCCACAAGAGGGCACTGTTGATCACTTAGGTGGTCTGCAGGGCAGAGAGTCATGTCCTTGCCCATTATGGGCACATGGTGGGGCTATCGTAGCTACAGTGAGGGCTTTGAGAATCATGCATGTTGGTTCATTCCAAGCAGTCAATTAATGTATCAGATTTCCTATGAAACCTTCTTAATTCACAGTTGAACACAATGGAAGTTTTCCATTAAGGAAACTTTTGCACCAACTCAGAATTGCATCAATGCAAAATTATCACTGTAATCAGAACACCATTAAATAATAATGAATGAGAAAGCTACCGCGTGGTTTTCTCCTTACAATCAAAGTAAGTTGGCTCTTAAAACGGAAAGCAGATTTTGCTTTTAATTATACAATCACCTCCAAAATATCTGCAATGTTTCATTCTGAGCCTCTTAAGTGAGGAACATTCCATCAGTGAGTGTCTTCAACTCAGGAAGGTATTTTTCTGAAGAGTTCTGCACATCTAATGGGAACAAGTCCCAAAGCATATCTTGAATCAAACGTTTTCCATCAACTTACGATACCTACTCACGATTTCCATTCAAACCAACTAATCTGATCAATGGAGTGGACAACAGTCTAATCAACTATTTAGGACTAGTTTACTGAGGCAGTCATACTGCCAGTTAACAATACGGACAGCTGGGAGCCAGACCCATGATTTCCCCAAGGATGAGGGCTTGATTGTGGCTCCACTCAATGTAATCACACCAGCTCATCAAACTTAGCACATACATGTACATTGAGGTGCGACGTATCGGTACAACACCAACCAGCCCTACATAACGCAAAGGTCCGTAATCAAACTTGCTTTTAGTCCCACAGCCAAAGTCAAAATCAAGAGGAAAACTGTACAGTCCACAACCGGCAACCAGCCAGTATGCACAGAATGCAAATGAACATTTTGTCATTTTGATGTCAGTCGCTGCATGAATGCATCACATCGCATGGGAGTCACACAACAGAAACAATACCTCCTGTTTCTGAAGTCGGTTCTCTCCCATCAACTGGATGCTACGGATCGGACTGCACAAGGGCCAGAGAATTAAAATCTGTTGAGAAGGTCCCGGATTAAATACTAATTCAAGGAGACGCCACTACTCAACGCAAGTCTCACGAGGCATGCCCACACTTTGGGAAGTTGTAAATACCTGCGAGTCAAAGAGGCATATGACCTGCACAGACAAACCTGCACATGAGCATGGCACCACCGCAGCAACCGCATCTGACTACTGATGCTACATAAAAAAGTCTGGACTGGCAATGCTCTTGTATTGACTGAAGCCACTGGCGGCCATCTTACTGTGCAAAATACAAAGGCCATGTTTGCTTCACACGGATCCGGATCATGATCAGTGATCCATCATTTGTTTACGGACACCATAATCCACATACTGGATGGTGCGAACCAGCATTAAGATCACTGATCGATATTCAGATCCGTGTGAAAGCAAGCAAGCCTTTGTATTTGGAACAGTAAGATGGCCGCCAGTGGCTTCACCTGTGTGGGCAGATGAAGGGCATTGCAAGTCCATACTTTATATTATGTCTGCGCTTCTAACACTGATGACTGCATTAGTCCACAGATCAAACAACAGGGAAATCCCTAGCAAGCAAAGTTGCCTAAAAACCCCAAAGATTGACTTACTTGTGGAGACGGGTCTTGTCAGAAGCTCGACATGTGACGACGGGAAGAAACCGATAGATTCTATGTTGCCCTTGCTAATTGAACCTTTCCACTTTCCATCAGGGTTTCGTTCCAGAACCTGTGGTTTTGTAGACGATAAAGAATAGCATTCAAAGCTAAAAACAAATCAAAGAAGGTAACAGCAAGCATTTGAATGGCTATTTATTAAACACAGCCATTCAAATGCTATACGGCTGAATCTTGCAATTCAGCAACATTCAATGCCTGTTAAAATCCACTTTTCCCATTCTCCGTTCAAACATTTCAAACAAAAATCACTCCAATTATCCCAGTATCCACTTGCATAGTTCCAATTCTGTAAAAACAAAAGAAAAATAAGTCCTAAACAGTCCTAAATCTTTCAAGTTTGATGCAATTCTTTGTGTGCCCAACAGAAGAACATTCTGGCAATTTGTTTTCACCCAGCTCACACAGTAACAGCTTGCACATACCCTACTTTCGAGCAGCAAATTTTTCACATACTATGAGGGAAGGGTTAAGGATTAAAACCACTGCATCAGTTATTATACACAGCGCCCTCTATTGTGCAATAATGACACTATAACCAGGTTGAACTCCATCTCAGGCCAAAGGTTTGATAGGTAACCAAAAGTCAACCACCGATCAATTTTGCCCTGGTACCAAGGACAGACATGCGTATTTTTTGCATGAGTTTGCAAGGGAGTCACCAAGGGAAATCAATCAGTGGTTACTGATTGAGCTTGGCCAAAGTCTAGCTCCGACTGAGGTTGAACATTACAGGCAATCAATTTTTTTTTTTCAAAAGAGCAAGGTTTCATCGGAACATGAACTAAATCAAGTCCAAAGCCATCGCCAAATTCCCAGACTGAACAAAGCTTCTCACACAGTTTTTCTGAGCAGTCTACAAAGCGTCTGTGCGAGATTTAGAGGAAGTAATTTTTCTGCAAATTCCCTGGATAAATGAGTAGTCACAAAGATCCCACAGTGCCTGCATTCAACAAGACTTCCGTCCTTACAAAAATGGAAACAAAAATATCACACAAAAAAGGATGAAGAACTTACAGATATGATGTCTCCCGCTTTGAAGGAGAGTGCTGATCTGTCGTGTATACGGACGTAATCCTGCAGCGCCCTAGCCTGGGAACCACCAATGGAGTCTAAAGCAAATGGAAAAGAATTGGAAGCAACATTAATCAAAGGGGATTTCATCTTGCTCCTTCCGCAAAATGACCTTGCTGACTGCGTAGAATTCAACACAACAAGTACATGTATATGTACATTCCTGAGGAATGCCAAAACTCTGCTGGCTGTGTCATGCATTGTAGGAGTACCTGTGTACATTAACCTACATCTCTCTGATCAGAAATCATAACATACCAAAGCATGACGGGCTTAAGTGGCGGAGAAAGTGCTCAAAGCCTAAGCACGACACACACAAAAAACCCACTTATGGTAAACATTAAGAGAGGACCCACTGACAACTGAAATGCCTTGCCAAGTGATTTCCGAGAGCTGGAACAGAACTAGTCCCTCCCCCCCAAAAAAAAAGTTAAAAGAGAGGGGGATTTGAAATTAGGCCCTGGCATCAGGTTTCAGTTCCAGTTGGAGTCTGTCGCCTGACAAATTATCTCCATCACCCTGAGATATCTCCTCCAAGGAAATCTTTTGGAGGGAAGGAGGCGAGGATGACAAGTGATTAACATTGGACTCCATGGCAGTAATTGCAGACTAAACAATGCCAGTGTCAGAGAGGGGAGAATGGATTTCCACTGAATGGATTCCACCTGTTGCTGGTTCTTAAAGAGATTCACAGGTGACAAAAACACCTGTAGTGAACTGAGCCATGCGTTGGGCTCTTCCCCTTGATGACAGACAGGAGGAATCGCCTCATTAGGATGTCAAGTGGTTCCAGTGTACATGTTAATCATCAGAATCAATGCAACACTGACGCCAATTACTGCTTCCATTTCAACAGTTTCTTGCCCACTTGCAACACAAGTCGCAGTTTGTCACGAGGATTTACACCAGGCAGTTGTAAATTTCGCACAGCTGATCCACAACATCTCAATATGAAGGTGCACTGATGTTGTCGTGTTTAATAATCAAGTTTTCTGCACTTTCCACACTGCCACTTATGACATTTAGTATTGATCAAGTTTGACATTAATCACATGTTGACATAAGGCACAAGTTTGTACTCTTCATGACTGTGCCAAAAAGAAAAAAAACACTTCGTCTCAAACACAATTACTTGAGACCATTCGTGTATTTTCACACTGAGTTACATGTATCAGTACCTCCAGGTAAACATTAACCCTGCATGCACCTCCCTCAGTGTTTTTAAAAATTCTTCCTGAATCTTCTGAAATCTATCAATTTGCAGGAAACAATAGAAAAATTCTTTATACCTACATGTACCAAAACTACGTACAGTGTACATGTAGGGACTGTACCAGTACATGTACATGGTAAGTCCAACAAATCCCATGGTGAATTCTGTAAGGTCTAAGACAGTTTAAGGTGAATAACAATAAAGGTAAGGGAAGTAGGAAACAAGTAAACACATGTGCATGGGCCTGTCACAGAAGTTGCCACAGAATGGTTGACTTTTCCCCCTTATAATTTAATCACTTAAAGATGCAATCAACTTGATCAACAGATCTTTTACATAAAAGTGCAGAACTAAGGCAACACATTTCCTTTAGCCAGTATACTTTTTAAAAAATGTAACGTAAGGTTGATATTGTTCTCTCAGATCAAAATATTGAGCAGAAATTACATCTAGGTCAGTGTGTGCACACTTGAGGACACAACCCGTGAAGCCATTTCAAACAAATTAAATTTTCCCAGAAAAGGTTTCTCAATATTTTCCACCTCACTGGTAATGCTCATAGCATGGCCAAGAGCCAGGCAGTCCTTGTCACATACACCATGCCTCAGGGAAACTTTGTTGACTTCCCTACTGACAGACACTCATATTTAGGAAAGAGCTCCATGGATACTAGGGCAGAGAGAGTTTCTTGAGTTGGGGAGGCCATCACATCAAACTCCCATCAACTCCCCCAAAAAATGATGAATATTCCCCCTTTTCACGCAACATTTCTAGAGTCAATGAAATAACAGACTCTTTCTTTAAAATATTCCCAAAATTAAATGTTTTTTGTCTTTTTCAATTTTTTTTTAAACTCTGGCTTGCTCTGAGTAGAGACTTTAATGTGCAAACCTATGCACAGCATCCTCCCTCCCAAGCTTCCCCCCCCCATCTTATTTCCACCTGTAGCTCACGTGCACATGTACATTCCCACAAAGAGCCTCCAAAAGAGGACAAACTCACCTCTGAGCAGCTGCTTGATGTCCTGAGCGGCTCTGGTCGGAGTGAATTTATTTACAATATCAAGTGCCGTCTGGCCGTGAGAGTTCTTCTTGTAGACGTCGATGCCACTCTGCCGGGTACAGAAGAGGTGAGGAGAGGACAAGAGGTGAGAAACATGGCATGAATGACAAACACTGCCGAGAGACAATTCAGACACTTTGCCTCTTGATGCCAGGCTTAATGATGGGTTACTGGATTCCGGAATGAAATCAAGGATTCTTGGAAAGAGAGCACTTTTGCTGGCAGAACCAGTGTGTACTTGTCAAGAATCACAGACGTGGAGAGGCTTTCCTCTTTGATAATGAAAAGGATAGTGTACACGTACTTTATTAAGAAACCACATATATGTACATGTACATGTACATAAATATCTCTCAAACCAAGAAGGGTCCTTCTCATGGCGGAGCAAGCAAATGTTGCATGCTAAGCACATAAAAATATGCTTACCAACTACAGGTAACAGGCCGGAAATGTCATGTGATATCCATGAGTGATGCTTCACTGCTTCACTTCCGAAGAACATCCATTTTCAAGCTGAATCACTTGGCAGCGGCTCAAAAATGCACACGACTCTATGGACAGTGGCTGCAGCCATTATTCAAAGACTCATGCGTGATTTCAAGCCACTGCCAAGTGAACTCGGGCACGATCTCTTCTACAAAGCAACTGCATGAAATTGGTCCCAGCACATAAGGTGCTACAGTACCGT